TCAACAGACACGGTTTACCAGCCACGTACATCTCATGTGTATTTAACAATAGCCTACAGTTTCATGGGTGACTTGAGAATGCCTTCTTTGTATATTTATATTTTTAATTTTTATTTTATTTTACGAGCACTAGTGTTTTGAATGCATACATGTCTGTGTGAGGGTTATTGGATCCCCTGGAACTGGAGTTACAGACAGTTGTGAGCTGCCATGTGGGTGTTTGGAATTGAACCCAAGTCTTCTGAAACAGCAACCAGTGCTCTTAACAACTGAGTTTTATTAGAAAGAGAAGGGAAGAGAAAAGGGGTAAAGAGACACAGAGACAGAGAGAGGACAGAAGAGAAGAGGGAGACAGGAAAAGTTCTGTCTGCCCAGAGGAACAGCGGGAAAGAGAACAACGTGGGTGGGGGTCTGTCTTTTAAAGAGCCAGGGTACAGACACCTGCCATGCTCAGGTGGGTGAGAGGCGGGGCCAGGTTTGCCTGGTTTCCAACACCCACCTCTCCTCTTCTCTTTTGGGGGTGGGAGGACAAGACAAGGTTTCTCTGCACAGCTCTGACTGTCCTGGAATTCTCTCTGTAGACCAGGTTGGCCTCCAACTCAGCGATCTGCCTGCCTCTGCCTTCCAAATGCTGGGACTAAAGGCGTGATCTCAAGGAGGCATTTCCTTCTTCTGATGACTCTAGATTGTGTCAAATTGACACACAAAACCATCCAGAATATACCTATAATCCCAGCACTCAGGAGACTGAGGTAAGAGTTTGAGTTCCAGGCCAGCCTGGGCTACATAGTGAGTTCAATCTAGTTTGGACCACATATCTAGATCCTGCCTTGCCAACAATGGGGTGGGGGTGGGCTGCACACATAGTAGCTTTCAGGCAACTCCTCCTCCCTTAGAGGCAGTGCCGGCCTGGACTGTGCTCACTAACCTTGGCCTGGAGACCTTGGGAACAATGTCTCTATTTGTTTCTACCTCCTCATCCCGACAAGGAGCCACCATCTTTCCCTGAGTTTGTGGGGTGTGTGTCACCACATCAGCAGAGATCTCCAGTAACACAGTCCCGTGCAGCAGAGGACATAGGCTAGAGGTAGGAATCCGAAGTTGACAGCATGGAAATGGTGTTTGGTCATAGTGGGAGCAGGCATGGTGGTGTACACCTGTAAGCCTAGCACTTGGGAAGCCGTTAGGAGGATGGGGAGTTTAAATCAGCCTGGGCTAGGAAGCAAGGCCCTGTCTGGAAGCTGTTACAGGGGAACAAACTTCACAGTGGGGAGTGGAGGGTACAACCCAGTACAGCCCGAGTGACGGCAGCAGGCTGGTCCTTCAAGCATGGGCGGGAGGCCTGTGACAGTCCAGGAGACAACAGATTGCCAGACTCACAGGGAGGTTGGCTTCTTTGTCTGTGAATGATGGTGAAGGGCCACCAAGATGGCCCAGTGGGTTAAAGGTGTTTGCTGGAAGCCTGACTCGTATGATTGGAAAAAGAACCAATTCTGCAAGTTTTCCTCTGAACTCTACATGTCATCCATGACATGCATGTGCTTGTGCACACACGCGCACACACTCAAACACACACACACACACACACACACACACAAAGACAGATAGATAGATAGATGTAACAATTAGCCAGAGAGTGGGTGGCCAGGCTGGCCTCAAACTCATGGAGATCTGCCTGCCTCTGCCTCCCAAATGCTAGGATTAAAGGGAGCAACGCCACAGCCTGGCATTGTTGAGACAGTGTCTCTCCAAGTAGCCCTGACTGTCCTGGAACTTACTATATAAACCAGACTGGCCTTGAACTCACAGAGCTCCACCTGCCTCTGCCTCCTGAGTGCTGGGATTAAATGTGTGTGCCACCACCCCCCAGCTCTTTTTTTTCTTTTATGTTCATTTGGTGTTTAGCCTGCATGCATGTCTGTGTGAGGGTGTTGGATCCCCTGCAACTAGAGTTACAGCTGCCTGTGAGCTGCCTTGGGGGTGCCGGGAATTGAACCTGGGTCCTCAGAATAACAGCTTGTGTTCTCAACTGCTGAGCCATCTCTCCAGCCTCTCTTTTTTATTTTTACCTTTTGAGGTTGTTTTTGAAAGCCACAGAACTGGGACCTACATAAAAAGCCCGGGCCTCCTATAGGAAGAAGGGAGGCATAAACAGGAAGTTCACCTAGATAGGCTCTGCAGGCTAGCTAGCCTTGAGTGCACAGCTCAGCAGCGGAGAGTCACATAGCCTCAGAACTGACTCCTGCAAGTTGTCCTCTGACCTTCACACGGCACTGTGGCCTGCGCCTAAGCGCTCTCTCATCGTATACACAAATCTATGTTTGAAACATTTAAGTTCTAGAATATTCCAGTTTATAATCCTGAGAGGCAAAGGGGCAGCAGGTGGGGGGGGGGTGAGGGGAAGCAGCCAACTTCCAGAGGAAGAAAGGAACAAACTTTAGCATTTCTGCAGCCAAATAGGACCAGGAATTCTGCCAAAGAGAAAATACAGCGTTGGGAGCAGGGGCAATCTGGCATGGACATTCAGGAGAGGCTCTAGGCCTCAGTGTGGAACCTCCACTTCAGGACCAGCCTCCAATCCTGGCAGCCCCCTGCCCAGGAAGGCTCCTACTTAATTGGAGACAAATGTGTTGGGGGAGGAGTGGACAAAGGCCTTTGGGGACTTCCTGTAGAGTCCTGTGTCCTGCACTTGGCCCTGCCTGGGATCCAAGCCAGTTAGTGTTGATTCTTAGTAGCTTGGGAACAAATGCAAGAAGCCGTTTTCCCGAGGCCTGCGCTTAGAAGAGGATTTTAGATGTTTTTCCCCACCCAACAGGTGGGGTGGGGAGGTGGGGGAGTGTGATGTGGCCTTGCAGGAGGCTGGGAGACTGTTTCGGGCTGGGTACTTCTTCCTGATTGGAAAGGAATCAGAAGATGAGTTGGCCAAGCTCGTGTGTCTCACCACAGATGACTCTAAGGGACGCTCCTGGTGGCTCCAGCTGAGCAGCTGAACCTCTGCTCACAGGAGATAAGTCAGTTTGGTCGCTCTCTGTTGGAGCATTTCCAAGACGAACTCCCAATGGCCTCCTAACAGTTTCATCTGACTCTTAACCTCTAGGCTTTTCTCTGGGATCCACTCTGTCCCAGAAGGAAGCCTGTGGCCCTTCTCACCCCATTCAGGGGTCTCTGGATACTAATTGTTCTTAATGGTGGTGACACAGGACAGTTTCTCAGGTGACGAGGATGCCTTCTTCTATAAACCTAACCAGAATTGTCTGATGGGCCTAGTGGTGGCACATACCTTTAATCTCTGGAGGCAGGGGCAGGCAGATCTCTGTGAGTTTGAGGCCAGCCTGGTCTACAGAGCAAGTTCCAGGACAGCCAGGGCTACATATGTCTGGGTGGGTCAGGGAGATTGTCTGATGGACCAAAGCATTGGTGCTTCAATGAGGGATCCTTGCAACTGGAGGGTCCTATAGGCTCCTACTATTGCATGGAAGAACTGGGAATTATGTACTGTGACCTTTTACATTTTTAAAAAGATTTCCTACACAGTGGTGACATATGACTTTAATCCCAGCATTGGGGAGGTGGAAGCAGGGGGATATAGGCCAGCCTGGTCTATAGAGTAAGTTCCAAGACAGCCAGGGGGCCCACACAGAGAAACCCTGTCTTCAGAAACAAAACAAAAACATTTAAAGCTGCCTCTCCAGCCCCCACACTTTTCTTTTTGTGTTTGTGTGGGTACGTGTGCACTGCTTGTGCAGGCTAGGTCACCCTACTTCCCAGGTACAGGGCACCCTCTCCCAAATTTACATATGATCTCTACCCCCAGGTGCTGGGATGGCAGATATGTGCCATTACGCCTGCCTGTTCAGGTGGGCGCTAAGGAGCAGACTCAGGTCATCATGCGTGGCAAGTGCTTTCTCCACTGAGCCACCTCTACACTCCACCAGCCTCTGCATTCTTCTCTGTAAACCAGGACACCAACATGTAAAAGGTTTTGTGTGGGATCTGCTGCTTCTGGGTGAAAGACGGCAGGAGACATCTCTGTGGAGGCAGCTCAGAATAGCTCTCCGATGTGATCTGTCAGCTCTGAATGAGACTGGTTTTGACCATGTGACAAGAACTGCACTGTGGCCGGCACATCATGTCAGGATGGGATTACTCTGGGTTTCCATGGCCTTAGTGTGGAGGGCATAGGAGGTGAACTCACTCTCCTCCAGGCAGCATAGAGTAGGATCTGAAGAAGTCTCTGGTCAGGGCTCTAGAGTAGTGCCTGGATGGAAGCAAAGCCGCTTATTTCATGCAGTGAGCTTGGGAGCTGGCCTCAGAGTAACAAATGCTATCTGTAGCAGAGCTGTTGCTTCTGTGCCAAGTGCCAAAGCCACAGTTTCCCAGGTAATCCCAGCCATCCAGCATTAGGCCCCAAAGACTGTAGTCATCTTGTATGAATCAAGACTGTCTGGCTCTTTAATTCGGGAGGAATGCGCAGTCCTGAGGAACTGCTGCAGAGCTCATGTTCCCTTAGCTTCCAGGCCCGGCCACACTGATCCACCTCAGCCCAGGCGCTAGTTCTCAGTGTTGGGCCAGCCATATAGCTCTCAGGAATGAAGCCTGAGGTCTGTCCAGGGAGAGTCATGTCCAGAGACGAAAGGAGGGAGTATCATTACACAATGAAGGCCAGGTGTGGTGGTACACACCTTTAATCCCAGCACAGGTGGGCACAGCGGGGCAGAGGCAAGTGGATCTCACAGTGAGTTCCAGGACAGCCAGGGCTACACAGAGAAACCCTGTCATGAAAAACAAAGAAACAAACAAAGCAGGCCATTGGCACTCTTAGATGCATGCTCCCAAGCAAGGTCGTAGATGTAAATTTCACACAGTGAAGAATAATTTCTGGCTATTTTTGTAAGAGTTCATCGGCCAAGGGAGCATGGGAAAGCAAAGGGCTTCATCTGTGTTTTGAAGAACACACTAACAGCTTCCATCCTGTACAATGTCAGATTGAAACATAACTCTTTGACCTTTTAAAATAACATTTTATTTACAAATCTTGATTTTTGCTTTCCTGGAACATTTTTTTAAGACTTTCAAGTAGTTTGGAAACCTCTGCCCATCTGCTGCTTCCTCTGGCCACAGCCTTCCGGGACCTGTGCTATGAAGTGTGGCAGGGCTGCTTAGTGGATTGTAATGAAATGAGGAGCCAGCTTTGGACACTTCTTCCGATTCTCTTAATTAGCATGCTACCCCCCCAGCTGCTGCAAGGCCAGATGTACAAGACAAGTGGGGCTGAGGCCAGGACTGTAAGTGTAAAATGCGTTGTGGATAAAGCAGGAGCTCTGTGAGAGGCGGTCTGCTCCTGCCCCGACTGCAGGCGCCCGTGTGGCCCAGGCTGCGGATCTGGAGTGCTGGTCTACCTTCAGGAAGAACCATGCGGGTCTGAGTACACTGGTTCGGCAGTTACAGGTGAGGTTTTGGGAAATGCCAGAGCACATTCCACAGAACTGCAGTGATCAGCAACACAAGCAATCTTGTGACAACACATCACACATCCAGGTCAAAGGATGAGGTCCAATCAGAAAAAGAAAAAAGTCCCAAGGGGTGACATTTCAAACCTTTGGCTGATGATAAAGCAGAAAATTAAAATGCACTACACACTGCTACCCTAACTGCCCAGGTTCTTCTAGAAGCCAAACAATCCCAACATGGTGTCCCCTCAATTCTGTTCAATTACTATTCTACTAGTTATCTGATGTTCCTGGCTCTAGAGAGAGGCACACAACCCCTCTGTTGGTCACAGTAAATATCATATGGCTGTTTGAAAAGGGCTCTGCTGCAGCCAAGTTCTGGAGTGAGAAGCAGCCTTAACTTAAATCCTAAAAGCGAAACTGAAAGTCTGCCCATGCTCCCTCTAGCTGTGACCTGAACATGCGATGTGCCTGTGTAAAACCACTGACCCCAGCAACACACACAGCTCGTCAGGGCTTCTCTCCAGGCTTGCCCCTTGCTGACTCCTGCTAGATGGAGGATATTCTCAGTTACCTCAAAACTAAGAGCTGTAACCATCGTCTGGGTTACTGGGTCTACTCCATCTGCCCCAATTCCTTGTTTTTCCGGCCGTCAAGCCAAGTCTGCGCCTGCTTTACAACCTGGCCTCTTTTCTGCGGCATTCAAGCAGCTCTACAATTCCACATGGGAAGGGAGGGATGGCGGAAGAGGTGATTGCTCGGCAGTGGACAGCAGGCCCCTCTCCTGAAGGCAGCTGGGGCCCCTGAGAGGTGCTGTGCTTTAGTGCTAGGTAATGCTGCCTCTGAGGTCACATCATGTCATAAACCTACCCCAGAATTCAACTAAGTGCTCCAACTGAATAAATACCCGGAAACACAAGACTGGGTTCACCCAGCTGGAGGGCAGAATGGCCATGAGGTGTTTGAGGTCTCAGACTCACCACCCGGGGAAGCACTGCCAATGCCATCCTCTCTCAGTCTCCTCACATCACCCAAATGAAGGAGCCACACGACCGCAGTTCATCCTCAGGCATACTTATTAGGGCCCACCCTCCCGCTCAGCAAAGGTCCCAGCACACACTGCAGTGCCCAGGAAGTCTCAGGGACAAGTCTCTCAAGGTCACTTGCCCCTCTTGCTACGGCCCTTCCTGGATGGCAGCTTCCCACCAGCCCCTGAAGAGGGGGGATTGGGGGCCGAGGGGATGTTAATCTGCCCTTCTTGGATCTCTTGTCGAGTCTCTGCGGGCAGGTGGCTGATCTGCTGCTGTGTCTCCAGGTAAAACATGACATCGCGCAGCTGCTCCTGGATCTCAGTGATCTGAAGGTCCTTCTGGTCACAGGTCTCCTTCAGCAGCCTCTCCTCCTCCTTCAGCTTGTTCTGCAGCAGCAGCTGGTTGGCGCGGAGACACTTGTTCAGCTCCTGCTCTTCCTGCAGCTCCGTGCTGAGTTTGGCCACTCTGGTGTTCAGCTGAGAGCACCTCGAGCAAAACAGAGGGAGACACGGATATAGCTTTACCTGCTCCATGTCCCGGGCGGCTCAGGGAGCTTAGAAGCCATTAGGGCAGGCCCCTCCCTGCCAAGTTCAGCAGCGGCAGCTCTTTCAGAGACATGGCCACGATGAGGAAGCCACCAGGGAGGTGGCATCCTCTGAGATAAGTGCTCTGACTTCATGAATTGCTAAAGGAGGGAAAGGGGTCAAGAGTGGGGGTGCTCTATCTTCAATGCTCACTCCTGAGTGGAGAATTACAAAGCAAGACATCACAGCAGGGACCATTTTATGTATCAGAAGGCTAAAGCACTCAGGTATGGTGGTTCCAACCTGTAATCTTAGCACTCAGGAAGCGGAGGCAGGAGCAAAGTTTGAATTCAGGGTTATAGGAGATGGAGAGATGGCTCAATGGTTTAAGAGCACTGGCTGCTCTTCAAGAAGACTGGGGTTCAATTCTCAGCACCTACATGGTAGCTTGTAACTGTCTGCAACTCGAGCTCCAAGGGTCCAACACCCTTGCATAGAATACATGCAGGCAAAACACCAATGAACGTTAAAAAAAAAAAATATATATATATATATATAAATAAAGCTTGTTTGCCGGGCGGTGGGAGACAACCAACTGCCAAAGGACTGCTCTGACCTGCGCACGAGCACATACAAGAAAAATGTGTTACAACAATGAAATCGGCCGGGCGGTGGCACACGCCTTTAATCCCAGCACTCGGGAGGCAGAGGCAGGCGGATCTCTTGAGTTCGAGGCCAGGCTGGACCGACAGCCTCCAAAACAATACAGAGAAACCCTGTCTCGTAAAACCAAAAAAAAAAAAAAAAAAAAAAAAAAAAGAGAAACTTTCCTATAAATCTAAATTTATTTCAAGAAAAGGTTATTTTATGAGAAACACCACTAAGGATCAAACATCTCTCTTAAAGTATCTTTATGCACTATACTATATGGTCACACAGTGACCAGGGAGGAAATCTTACCCTCTTCAGTGTTTGGGATCAAACGCAGGTCCTTGTGCATGCTGGGAAGATGCTCTGCCACTGACTGTAGGCTAGCCACTGCCACCAGTAACACCCATTCCCATCACCCCCACTGCCACCTCGAGTGTTCTTGCCATGCTGGCCATGGCTCTTTGCTCCATGCTTGGCATCATTAGCCCTTAGTCCTGTTCAAGGGAGAACCTGTGCCATGTGTTTAGACAAAAGCGTCTTTCCTAACTGCCAGCTCTCAGTCAAGACGCCTCTCAGAAACTGCAGGCAGAAATGGAAGCCATCTGCACACACAGACAAGCACTTGGATCGCAGGAGAGTGCAATGTTCCACTGGCATCCACCTCAAGTGGAACACAAACTGCACCTTTTTGTTGTTACATTATTTCCTGAGCATGTGTACTCAGCTGCCAGGGTGCACATGTGGAGGTCTGAGGACCAGTGTATGGGAGTCAGTTCTTTCCTTTTACCAAGTGAGTCTTGGGATCAAGTAGAGGTTGTCAGGGTTGGCAGCTGAGCCATCTTGCTAGCCTCTAACTGCACAATGAGAAGTCACTGTACCTCCAAAACAATACAGAGAAACCCTGTCTCGGAAAAAACAAAAAAAGAAGACACTGTAACCCTGCTGCAAATATAGAGACCCCCAAAAATCTGTATGATGTACATGCTGAATATGGGGTGTTGCCAAGGAAGCAAAACAGCTTCTCTGTAAGAGCATGCTGGCATGAGTGGTGTCAACAAGAATGAGGGGTATTATACCTACTTTCTTTCCACAGACTGCTTCTCCTTCAGGAGGTCACTGAGCCTGAGCTCCAAGCTGTCACACTTCTCGATGGTCTCTTTAAACTTGGTCTTCATGTTGTTAATCTGAAAGTGCAAATGGAGGTCAGACACAATCACAGATTTCTTGTGACCTTCCTCCCAACTCCCCCACCTCTGTAACCAGGACAACCCTGACTCAGAAAGTCAAAGTGAGCCACTTTGAAGGAAGTACGACGAAAAATTGTGGAAAAGTGAGAGAAAAACTTTCTTCTAGGATAAACAAGGACCAAGAGCTGCTGGATGCACAGGGAAGCTATTGAAAGAATCAAAGGGCATGGCGGTGGTGGCAGTGGTGGCGGTGGAGCACGCCTTTAATCCCAGCACTCGGGAGGCAGAGGCAGGCGGATTTCTGTGAGTTCACAAAGACCAGCCTGGTCTACAAGAGCAAGTTCCAGGACAGCCCTCCAAAGGCACAGAGAAACCCTGTTTGTTTATTTTGTTTTTGTTTTTCGAGGCAGGTTTTTTCTGTGGCTTTGGAGGCTGTCCTGGAATTTGCTTAAAAACAAAGAACACCATGAGACTGAATTCTACTAGTTTGGTTTTGTTTTGTCCTCCAACTTACTGCTTGTCTGATGTGCCATGAAGCCATATGAACTGCATGTTTGTCTCGGGTCAGTCTATAAGGCAATATATTTGCAGAACTAATTTATACTTCAGAGAATCGGAAAGAATGCAAGTTCTACATGATATGTAGGTCAGGCAAGAGCCCACCAGCATCTAGCTGGGGAGCATGGGACCACCCACATGCAGAGAGCTGCAGAGCTGGGAGCTGTCTCAACTGCAAGTCTTAGAAACTGAGAAGATAGGGAGGTGAGGTAGCTAAGTACCAGCACCCAGCAGCCTTTATACTCACTCACACCTCTCTCTAAGTGATGCCACAGGTCAACAAGCGTATGAGGACAGGCTCAGAAAAGACAAGGCAATGTCCCATGGTCACCCAGCCACAGGGTAAAGGATCCTGTCTAAGACCAAGCATGGCCAAAGCCACGCTGTGAACCCCTCAAAAACTGAAGGCCACAGTTTCATGTTCTCTTCTTGGGGCACATGAGACACCCATCACACTTTAGCCTTTCTTTTTTGCCTTGTCTGATTTATCTAGCTATCTGCTTATTTCTTTTGGAGCTAGAGGTCTGAAAAGATGTATCTTCAGGGGTCCCACTTAGGCCCACTGCCTCTTTATGTGTTCTTTATACTCAGTCCCATGAAAAACAAGAGCCACAGGCTGGAGAGAAGACTCAGTGGCTAAGAGCACTGGCTGCTCTTCCAGAGGACAAGGTTTCAATTCCCAGCACCTACACAGCAGCTCACAATGGTCTGTAACTCCAGTTCCAGGGGATTAGATGCCCTCTTTTGTCCTCCTTGGACACTAGTTAGTACATGATGCACTTATATACATGAAATCAAAACACTCATACAGAAAAAATTAATAAATAATTCTTTTCTTTTCTTTTTTATTTTGTTTTTTGAGACAGGGTTTCTCTGTGTAGACCAGGTTGGCCTTGAACACAGAGATTTGCTGGCCTGTGCCTCCCAATTGCATGTGCCACCACTGTCCAGCTAAAATAAATTTTAAAAAAGAAAAAGTAAACCAAGAGCTTTCACATGGCTCTGAGTGGCTGTTCCTATATCTGTGACAGGCTGGAACAAATCATACTCCCTGAAGTCTACAAGTGACCTCCAGGTTTCAGGCTTGGCTTATCACCCCCTCCCCCAGCCCCAGCACCTCCATGAATGTGTTATGAGGCCCATGAGTAAGAATCTGTCACTGTCTTCCTGCTTGGGGTGCAATGGACAGAATACCAGTCACAAAAGCACACTGCAGAACAAAAGGCTTGCATCAGCCATGAACGTATGGACAAACGACATCTGTCAGTAGAAAACAAAGGCATGCTTTTGAAGTGCTGTAAGCTTTCATCAGAAGCTGCCTGGCTCCAGCTCACTCTGACCAGAAAGCAAATTCCTTCGGCTTCTCTTCCTCGGCTCTGACTTGCTTTTCTGGCATGTCTTAGAGAATGTGGCTAATCCTGAGGAATCACACAAGGCAGAGAGAGTTCTGAGCTCAGCTCACTAGGGTCTGTGTGAAACAATTTGGGTGGTCATGCTGAAAGAGCCACAAAAAAGCCATTAGTGAATCTGCAGCAGCACACCCTCCTGGGGAATCCATAATGTGAGTGGCAGCAACCCTGCTCTGCTCCCTGTATGGCGATCACAACCTACTCAGGAGGGAAAGGCGAGTGTGCTCTAGGCACTTCCACCATCTGGAAGGTTGTTGCAGGAATTTCATCTATGACTTTTTTTGTCGTTGTTGTTTTGTTTTCGAGACAGGGTTTCTCTGTGGGTTTGGAGGCTGTCCTGGAACTGGCTCTGTAGACCAGGCTGGTCTCAAACTCACAGAGATCCTTTTGCCTCTGCCTCCCGAGTGCTGGGGTTAAAGGCAAGTGCCACTACCGCCCGGCTCATTGATGACTTTTAACTAAAAATTATTTCAAAGCCTGAGTCAAACACTGGCTGTTTGAAAAACCAATTCCTACTGTGGCTAGGGCCCAGGGAGAGGGGGACTAAGTCACCAGTTGGGGCATTTAGAAAATTAAAAGACAGCTGGGGAGTGGTGGCACTTGCCTGTAATTTAATCCCAGCACTCATGAGGCAGAGGCAGGTGGATCTCAGTGAGCTAGAGGTCAGCCTGGTCTACAAAGTGAGATCCAGGATGGCCCAGGGCTACACAGAGAAACCCTGCCTTGAAATCACAAAATAAATAAATAAACAACAAATAAATAAACCTTCAAAAACAAAATTAAAAAAAAAAAAGGGCTAGCCGGGCAGTGGTGGTGCACACCTTTAATCCCAGCACTCGGGAGGCAGAGGCAGCTGGATCTGAGTTCGAGACCAGCCTGGTCTACAAGAGCGAGTTCCAGCACAGCCTCCAAAGCCACAGAGAAACCCTGGCTCAAAAAAAAAAAAAACAACAACAACAACAAAACCAACAAACAAACAAACAAAAAAAACCAAAATAAATATGGGCTATGTGGCCTCAAACTTCTGGGCGTAAACAATCCTCCTGCCTCTGCCTCCTGAGTAGCCACAGCTACAGACACAGACCACCATGCACGGCACATTTAAGGGATTACTTAGTTAAAATGTGCTAACTGCAGTCACAAATCAGTAATTCTCCAGGGTGATAACCAAACTCCCTTTCTGCCTAATTTATTTCCCTCAGTTTACAAAGCCTCAGAAGTCCACACCAGCTCCCAAAGCCACTGTTGGCAAGCTGACATGCTAGTGGCTGACACATGGATTTTGGGTTTTATGGGAGAATCTCTGACTGAGGACACTGGCAGGGAGCAGCAGGCTGGACCATCACCACTTTTTTTTTTTTTTTTTTTTTTTTGGTTTTTTTGAGACAGGATTTCTCTGTGGCTTTTGAGGCTGTCCTGGAACTCACTCTGTAGACCAGGCTAGTCTCAAACTCACAGAGATCCGTCTACCTCTGCCTCCTGAGTGCTGGGACTAAAGGCATGTGCTGCCATCGCCCAGCCTCGCTACCACTTTTATGTTCTTATTGGGATTGTACAAAGTGCTACATCTGACGGAGGTGAAACATAAACAATACCCTTAAGATCCCAACTATCAAGACCCTTAAATCTACAATTTCTTTTTAGAGACAAAGCAATCCTCGCCCCATCATCACCCAGTGAAAAGAAGATTCTGACAATCCCTGTCCCTGCCCGTGGTGTCCTCTCCCACTGTGGGCGGCCCTGCCATGGCATGTCAGTCATCAGGTCAGACACTTACCTCCTCTGCTGTGTCCTTCTCTATGCGAACAATCTTGTTTTCCCAGTATATCCGCTGCGATTCCAGCTGGCTTGTTAGTAAGTATGAATACTAGAAACAGAACAAACAGCCAGATGTGAGCCATCACTGATATTGAAACCCAGTGAATACTGATCTGGTGATAACCAGTAGAACTGCATCCAGAATCAAGGTCACCACAGGCATAGTGGTGCTCCTATACTCACCACAAAACCAAATGAAACTACACAACTCAAAAACAAACAAACAAAAACAGCTGCTGGGTCATGGTGGTACACACTTTCACTCTCAATACTCCAGGCTAGCCAGGGCTACATAGACAGCAGTTACTTCAATAATGGGGGAGGGGGGAAAGGAGAAGAGGAGAGACAGACAGACAGACAGACATGGGTTCAACTCAGGTCAACATGCACTGGGGACCAAGAGGTACACAGTGGAGCTTGGGAAAAATCCAAGAATTCAAATTTACATACATGCATACAGTTATTTTTTTTCTTTTCTTTTCTTTTTTTTACCAGACAGGGTTTCTCTGTGGCTTTGGAGGCTGTCCTGGAACTAGCTCTTGTAGACCAGGCTGGCCTGGAACTCAGAGATCCACCTGCCTCTGCCTCCCAAGTGCTGGGATTAAAGGAGGGATGCTTCACCACTGCCTAGCTCTTTGCTTTCTAAAGATTTATTTGTTATGTATACAGTATTCTGCCTGCACACCAGAAGAGGGCACCAGATCTTATTACAGATGGTTGTGAGCCACCATGTGGTTGCTGGGAATTGAACTCAAGACCTCTGGAAGAGCAGCCAGTGCTCTTAACCTCTGAGCTGATCCACCAGCCACCAATTTTTCTTTTTTTCTTTTCCAAGACAGGGTTTCTCTGTGTAGATTTGGAGTTTTTCCTGGAACTGTAGATCAGGCTGGCCTCAACTCACAGAGATTCACTTGCCTCTGCCACCTGAGTGCTGGGATTAAAGGAGTGACATTACAGGACTCTGTGTGTCCAACAGTTCTGTGGTAGGATTGTCTGTGGCAGACAGAGTTTACTGCTCATAAGAAAACTGAGTGTGCTAAATGTGTTGTTTCTTCAAATGGCTGCAACTAAAGCATCACAGCACACACATTAACACACAGCTGCGCACACATTAACACACAGCTGCACACACATTAACACACAGCTGCGCACACACAACTCTAGGGAAGAATGGCGCTGCTGGCTTCACTCTGACCAAGTCTCCTTTTTCCATCTTCTGTGGAGCCACTGATAGGAGCATGCTACCTTTCAGCTTTACTGCTTCTGTGGAAGATGACCTGAATTGCCTGAACTAATGAACTGGAACCCAAGGGAACCAGGAATATCACACTGGAAACAGTAAGGCATGGGGAAGCTTAGACTTTCAAAAGAAGTATTTTAGAAATTCTTTGCAGAAATGACAGAACTTAAAAATGTTTCTACGCAAGGCAGATGACTACATCAACAGGTCAGAGCACCTTTCTCCAGAGAGGGAAAAGCAGCAAGAGCAGTTGCTGAGCGACCGCTCACAGCACCTCACCTCTAACTGTAAGGCATCTATCTTCTCTTCCTGGCAGGTGTCGCCCTCACACTCATACTGGACGATCTTCCCATCCGTCTTGCTTGCAACCAGTCGATGGACATAATTATCTACGGAAAGAGAAGTCAGCTAGAAGTGGCTTCTTAGGAATGAGAAGTTCTCTGCTCTTAATTCTGAAACGTGTTTCTTTTTAGAAATCTAAATTAAATGATGTGTGATTTTTCTTTAAAATGGATCAAGCAGGGGTGGGTTGGGGTGGTGGTGGCGCACACCTTTAATCCCAGCACTCGGGAGGCAGAGGCAGGTGGATCTCTGTGAGCTCAAGGCTAGCCTGATCTATAGAGCGAGTTTCAGGATAGGCTCCAAAGCTACATAGAGAAACCCTGTCTCGAAAAACCAGGGGGTGGGGGGAAGGGTCAAATTATTTGAACTTTAGAGTGAGAGAGGTCAAGAACAGACATCTAAACTCCCAATCCCTAAACATGGCACCCTCTGGGGTGACCATGCAATGTGAGTTTACCTAGACATCAGGAGGATGACACTTCACATTGTGAAGGAGTTCCACAGGAAAGAGTCCAAATCAGATTCACTCACCTCCAGCATAGTCCCAGACCCGATGGTTGGTAAGCTGCATAGCGTATGTGTGCTGAGTTTCCTCAAAGTGCTTGTAAGCATGTCGACTTACATACCGTCCACATCCTATATGACCACATATTAAACAAATCCAGAGGTTCTGCCAAGAGAGGAGATTTGAATTAGTAATGGAGGAGGGCAGGCATGTGATCTGGCTCATATGGCTTGGAAAAAAGATGGCTCAGAAGCTCTTTCAACTTCTGAATAAGAAAGTTCTAAAACCCAAGTATCCAGGGTTCTTACTGGTCTACCATTTCCCCCCTCTGGCTTCTGTGAAGTCCTGAGTACAGATTCACAAGTGATTGGCAGGCATCTCAGTCTTTTTTTTTTTTTTTTTTTTGCCAAGACAGGGTTTCTCTGTGTAGCTTTGGAGGCTGTCCTGGAACTAGATCATATAGACCAGGCTGGCCTTGAACTCACAGAGATCCGCCTGCCTCTGCCTCCAGAGTGCTGGGATTAAAGGCATGCACCACCAATGCCCAGTGCATCTCAGTCTTAAAAAGAATCTGTGTGCTCATACACTTGACTGTAGACAAAAAAGAATTGGTTTCCGAAGAATCTAAGCTGCACTGGGCAGAAGAAAACCCCCAGTCAATAAAGCTGCTCATTACCTCTTCACCCACAGTACTTACTTCCTGGACACCACACTCAAAGCACTTATTTTCTTCCACTGGCTCTGGTGTTTGACAGTATCGGCAAACAGGACACCTGACCAGGACATGGGAGAGAAGGCTGAGATTATACAGGTGCTGAAACCTGGACTATAAACCCTCTCCTCTCTGTGTCTTTTCTTCCTTCCTTCCTTTTTCTTTCCTTCCTTCCTTCTTTCTTTCTTTTTTTAAGGAGTTTATTTACTTAACCAAGAGACAGGATTGATGTATGATATTTTGATTGTGTTCTGAAAATAAAGCTTGCTTTGAATTAGAGGGTGGATCCAGTCATTGGCTGATCAAAATTAGCCATAGAGGTTTTGGAGGACTGAGAACAGATAGAGAGACAGGGAGTACTAAGACAGGGCTTAGAGAGAATCTCAGTCTTTTTTTTTTTGTTTTTTTTTTGTTTTTTCGAGACAGGGTTTCTCTGTGTAGTTTTGGAGGCTGTCCTGGCACTCACTCTGTAGACCAGGCTGGCCTCGAACTCACAGAGATCCACCTGCCTCTGCCTCCCGAGTGCTGGGATTAAAGGCGTGCGCCACCAACGCCCGGCAGAATCTCAGTCTTTTTGGATAGAGGAACAGAAGTAGAGATTGATCGCTGGTCGCTCCTCTGCCCAGCCAGGTTCTCACCCTAGATCACAGGATCTCACTACACAGGCCTGGCTGGCCTGGAGCTGGCTCTGTAGAACAGGTTAATATTGAATTCACAGAGGGAATGAGCTTGCCTCTGATTCCAGGTGCCGAGACTCAAGATGTGAGCTACAGCCCTGCTAATTATTTTTGTTGTTTTGTTTGAGACAGGGTCTCACTAGCCCTGACTGACCTGGAACTTGCTATGCAGACCAGGTGGCCTGAAACTTAGAGATCTTTCTGCCTCTGCTTCCTGAGTGCTGGGGTTAAATGCATTTGCAACCATATGCTGCTCCCAGCCAAAATTTTTTTTTTAATTTAACATACAGTATTCTACCTGCATGTATGTCTGCAGGCCCGAAGAGGGCACTAGGTCTCATTACAGATGGCTGTGAGCCACCATGTGGTTGCTGGGAATTGAACTCAGGACCTTTGGACGAGCAGTCTGTGCTCTTAACCTTTGAGCCATCTCTCCAGCCCCTCCCAGCCAATTTTTAAAAAGGTTTATTTTTATCTGTATGTGTGTGCTCACCAAGGCCAAAAGAGAGCATCAGATCCCCTGAAGCTAGAGTTGCAAGTGGCTTTGGACAGCCCAGTGTGGGTACTGGGAATCTAACCTGGGTCTTCTGCAAGAGCAACCAGTGTACTTAACTGTCGAGCCTCTTTCCAGACATAAACATGACCTCCACCCCCCAGGTAGTCCAGTCTGAAGATGACCTTTAGCTACTGATGCTCCTGCTTCTACCTCCCAAGTGTTAGTATTACAAGAGTGTACCACCATGCTCAACTGGGGTAACCCTTTTCTATTATACTCAAAATGAAGTAACATTTAATACTGGTCATCACTGTATTTTGTTTGATGGGTCAACGTGATAGCAAGTGGGATATAGTTGTAGCTGATTAAACTGTCACCAAGAAAGCAAGCTCAACGTGCAGCAATCATCCATCCATTCTTTGGCCAGGTTATGAAGAGCAAGGAAAAGGCACAAGCAGGCAGAAGGCCAAGATCCTGCACTGGCAAGGAGGAAGCTGAAGGGCATCTGACCTTCTTTCGTACTGAAGATGGGCAGGTACAGTGCTCATGGACGTAAGGCCAGGACTCAGGAGAGAGGCAGGAGAGCCACATTAGCTCAAGGCTAGCTTCGGCTACAAGTGGGCCAGATCAGCTGGGCTTACATGGTAAGGGCTTGTTTTCGCTTTTACCGGTGTGTGTGTGTGTGTGTGTGTATGTGTGTGTGCACGCGCGAGAACAAGTGCATGACAACATATGCTTGAACATATATGCACCATGTGAAGCAGTGCCTGTGGAAGGCAGAAGAGATCACTGAATTCCCTGGAACTGGAGTTATAGTCAGTTGTGATCTGTTTAGCATGGGTGCTGGGAAACAAACTTAGGTCCCTGCAAGAGTGGGAAGTGCTCTTAACTGTTAAGCATCTCTCTAGTTCCCTGCTTGCTTTTGAAATAGGTCTCATATAGCCTAGACTAGTCTCTAACTTGCTAGTAGCCAAGGATAACCTGAACTTGGGTCTTCCAGCCTTCAGTTCCCTAGTACTGGGATGCACTGGGTTTAGGCAGTGCTAGGAATGGGGCCCAGGGCTTCCTGCTTAGGGCTTGCCCAGCTTCTATGCTAGTCAGGGACTCAGCAACTGAGCTTTACCTCTCAAGACCTGAGGCCTTGTTTCAGTTAAAACAACAGACAGAAAGGGACTGAGAGCTTAGTGGCAGAACTGTACTTAGCAAGGAGGGGGGGAGAGGGAAAGAGAGGGGATAAAAAGATACGGAAGTCAGGGAAAGGGAGGAAAATAAAAAGGGAGAAGGATGGGGAGAGTGGGAGAGACAGAAAGAAAATGGGAAGTAGTGATAGAACTGGCTCCGGAGGGCTGGAGAGATGGCCCAGAGGTTAAGAGCACTGGGTACTCTTCCTGAGTTCAAGTCCCAGCATCCACAAGTGGTTCTCAACCATCTATGGTGGGATCTGATGCCCTCTTCTGGCATAAAGTTGGCAGAGCACTTGTATACATAAAATAAACACATAAATCTTTTTTTTAAAATGGCTCCTGGGTTGGATGAAGCAGCTACTACAGGTAGACAGTGCCTTCCTGTGATCCTTCTGCCTGTGTGGTGGCTGTACAGAGACTGAAGAGGAAAACAAACTAATACCAAACTCTAATTCTGACTAGGCCATGTACCAGAACCCAGGGAAAATATTCAAAACCAAACTCTTGTAGCACACAGTGCATTCATTTCAACATTCTACACCATCTAGGAAAACACCATCTACTGAAAGACTGAAGCTTCTGCCCAAACCCAGCTGCCTCTGCCTCCCTGGAACTAAAGGCGTGGCTATCGTGCTTGGCTCCCACATCCTTTGTTGTGTGGGTTCGATCACTCTGTAGCCCAGCTGCCCTTCAACTCTTTACCTTCCATTCGCCAACCCAAATTATGGAATTGCAGGTGTGGCCACTTCACCTGGCTTTTGAACCTACTTATTTGTGTGTGGAAGTCAAAGTTCTGTGCAACTGGTGCTCTCTTCCCCTTCATGTGACCCCAAGGAATCAGAGTCAGGCATCAGGTTTGACATCAAGTGCCTTTACCCAGTGAGTCATCTTGCCAGTCCTAAGCTGCAACAATTTCTCTTATTTTTATCCTTTTCTTTTGCTTTTTCGAGACCGGGTTTTTCCTGTGTAGCCTTGGCTGTCCTGGAACTGGTTTGTAGACCAGGTTGTCCTAGAACTCAAGAGATCCACCTGTCTCTGCCTCCTGAGTGCTGGGATTAAAGACAGGTGCCACCACCGCCTGATTCATTTTTACTTGTGTGTGTCTCTGTGTGTGTATCCAATGTACACAGGTGCCTACCAAGGCCAGAAAAGGGTCTCGAAGTGGAAGTTACAAGACTGTTTTCTCCTTTCATCACATGGCTCCCCAGGACAAAGTCAGGTTGTCAGGTATAGAAGCAAGAGCCTTTGCCTGCTGAGCCATCTTGTCAGCCCAGGACATCGATTTTTTTTTTCCTTCAGGACATCGAATTTTAGGTGGCCCTGTTGGACCAGGACCTATGGTGTCCAGTCACAACACTGCACACTGTTCCTTCCTCATACCTGTTGATGCAGGGATCTCACATATAATCAATCACACATCCTGGGTGAAGAATCACCTGATACACCATGCTCCAGCAGATACACTGAGTTCCACAGTACAGTTTATTGGCGTGTGTGCGCGTGTCTCTGTGTGTGTGCGCTCGTGTGTATATGCACATGCATATGGAGACTATAGATGCCCTCCATCATTTTCCCCAGATTTGAGGGTCTTCTGATGAACCTGGAAGTCATGTTTTTAGCTAGTCTGACAGTCAGGAAGCCCCAGCAACACCCCCACCCCATCTCTGCTCCCACTCAGTGCTTGGGTTACAAGTGTGTGCAGGACCATACCCAACGTACCTTGTGGGTACTAGGACCTGAACTGCAGTTCTCGTGCTTGCACAGCAAGTCTTAACTTCCCCGGTCATCTCTTTTTTTAAAGATTTGTCTGTTTATTAATTTATTGTAGTTCTGGAAATCAAACCATGGGTCTTGGGCATCCTAGGCAAATGTTCTAACATTTTCCCCCAGACAAAGTTTCTCTGTGTAGCTCTGGTTGCCCCGGAACTTGATTTGTAAATCAGGCTGGCCTTGAACTCATAGAGATCTGCCTGCCTCTCTGCCTGTGCCTCCTGAGTGCTGGGATTAGAGTGTGCTACCACCGCCTGGCAACAAAATTTCTAACTTTGAGCTATACCTCACTACTACAGTGTAGTTTATAAAGGAAGAAAATATCTTTGACATAGGAAGGAAAAAAAAAAGGGTACAAGCACCAACTGACTAACTTTGTTCTCTGTCTGCAGCAACTACAACTAAGCTGTGTGTGCACTGTAAGGAGGACACATGTGTGCTGCATGCCTGGTAACTGCTGCAACTACTGGCTGCTTGGCCATCAGCAACCAGTGAAGTGACATGTTGGGATGGGGAATTCAGCTTGCAGGCATGAAGCCCAAGTCTAACATCACATAATCCAGGGTGATGGTACACACCTGTATCCTGGCACGTAGCCAGTAGAGGCACGCACCTGTATCCCAACACCTGGGTGGTGATGACAGGAGGATCAGAAGTTCTAAACTATCATTGGCAACATGTGAGTTTAGGCCTGGATACTCCTTCTGACCCTCCTGCTGCCCCCACACTGTAACAGAACAGCTTAAGCTTTGATTGGGTGTAAGATTCTTATTTATGGCTCTTGGGAGGAAAGAACTCATGTTGCTTTGGAAAGATGCACAACCATTTTGGACCAGCATCTCACTAAGAAGGACACAGTACTGGGTGCAGTGGTGAAACCATTACTACCAGAACTTGGAAACAGAAAAAGGTAGATCTCTGTGAGTTGGAAAGGATGGCTCAAAGGTTAAGAATACTGGCTACTCTTCCAGAGGACCTGGATTTGATTCCCAGCATTCACAACTTATAACTGTAACTCCAGTTCCAGAGGTTTTGGTACACTTTTCTGTTCCATAGGGTTCTGCCTGCAATGTGAAGCACATAAATGCACACAAGCATTTAAGAGAAATAAAAATTTTAAAAAGGTCTTGGTGTTTAAAGAACAACTTTGGACTGGAGAGGTGGCCCAGTGGTTAAGAGCCCTTTTTGTTCTTGTAGAGGACCTACATTCCATTTCCAGCATCCACATGGCAGCTGACAGCCACCCACTAACTCCAGTTCCAGGGGATCTGATGCCCTTGGCACCCTTGGGCACTGCATGCATGTGATGCACATAAATTCATGCGCACGTGCCCACATGTACATACAAATAAAAAATGACATTTCCACAAGAACTGAGGAAGTCAAGGAGGAAGATCAAGGTCTTGTTCTATTGCAATCCCAGCTTTGCAGAGACTAGGAGTGTTTGTTGATGCCTATTCTGAATTCTGGAAAGGGTCAGGAGGACCTAAAAGTGGGGCAGCCCCTGCACTCACGTGGTGTCATCCCACCGCTGCAGACACTGGCTGTGGAAGCTGTGGTTGCATAGGGTGGTGAGGATGCCATTCACAGACTCGTCCATTCGCTCCAGACAGACAGTGCACTTAGGGAGCTCCGTCAGGTCCATCACAGGGAGGCTGGCGCCCTACAGGAAACATCTGTTAAGTGCCACTCCTAATCCTCTGCCATCTTCCTGTTGTTTTTATTGTTCATTTTTGGAGACTGAGTCCCACTCCAGACCATGCTCACCTGGAACTCTTAGCAACCCTCCTGACTCATCTCTTCAAGAACTGAGATTAGAGGTATGAGCCATATCTGGAATATGCTGCCTTTTCAATTTTTTGGTTCTTCAAGACAGTTTCTCTGTGTAGCTTTGGAGGCTGTCCTGGAACTCACTCTGTAGACCACGCTGGCCTTGAACTCAGAGATCCTCCTACCTCTGCCTCCTAATACTGAGATTAAATGTGCATCACCACCATCACCCTGGCTTTCTTTTTAAAACGATTTTTTTGGGGGGCAGTGATAGTACATGCTATTAATCCCAGCACTCAGGATGGAGAGGCAGGAGGATCTCTGTGAGTTCAAGGCCATCCTGGTTTACACAGCGAGTTCTAGAGTAGTCAGGGCTAGCTACACAGTGAGACCCTGACTCAAAAAAACAAAACAAAAGGTCAAGCATCGTGGCGCACACCTTTAATCCCAGCACTCAGGAGGCAGAGGCAAGTAGATCTCTTTGAGTTCATGGCTAGCATGGTCTACACAGTGAGTTTCAGGACAGGCAGTGCTATAGAGAGAACTTGCTTGAAGAAAAACAAAACCAGAACAAGCAAGAACCAAAAAACCAAACAACAACAACCAAAACCAAAAACAAAACAAAAAAACAAACAACCCAAACAAAAATTTACGAAGGGGATTAGGGTTAGTATTTTGAACAAAAATGTTTTTTTGTGCTCCAAACAGTGTCCCACTGTTCTGGGATAGTCACAACAGTGAAGATTCTTCTGGTAACTTTCAGTTGGGGACAGGTCTTGTTACATACCCTCGGCTGGCTTCCAACTCACCAGTCCCTTGCCTTGTTTCCTGAGTGCTGAGGCAACCGACAAGTACCATCACACCTATTTTCTCATTTTAAAAATGAGATATAACTCTCTGATTTTTTTTCAACAGGGTTTCTCTGTGGCTTTGGAGGCTGTCCTGGAACCAGCTCTTGGTAGACTAGGCTGATCTTGAACTCAGAGATCTGCCTGCCTCTGCCACTCGAGTGCTGCCACCAATGCCCGGCTCTGTTGTGCTTTTTAAAGCAGGGCCTTGCATTGTAGCACGTGTTAGCTTTGAACTTGTGCATTCATGCTCCCCTCCCCCCATCCCCACCTCAGTCAGTCTCCTGAGTGCTAAGATTCTCCATTTTAAACCCGGTGGCTTTTGCGCACCAAGCACCATCATCTAATTCGTCAACATACCCTCACTTGAAAAGAACCACAACTGTGAGCTGTCTCTCCCCATTCTGCTTTTCTCCCAGACCCCAGAACCAGTTTTCCGTCTCTCCACAGGAAAGCCTTTCTGGATGTTTCTGCAAACATCCTTAATTCAATCTTATACCAGTCAACAGCATTTGTCCTCAGACCTAAGAAGTCTTCAGACTTACATCTTCAGATTTCAACACTTCAGCCCTTTCCACATAGACCAGCTGGCAAACGTCATCTTCGATGGAGTTGAACTGGCGGCCGTTGCATGCCATGTAGAAGCTATCTGCGTCAGCCTGTGCACACCAATGGGAAGAGGCAAAAATAAAGGCCAGTCACGGAAGACGCTCTGTTCACTCACACATTCCCACATTTACAATCAGAAAAGGCAAAGCTAGAAGTGGCATGCCCTGGAGCCATTGCGTCAACAGAGCCCGCACCTGTCTATAGGCTTGCCCTACAAGGCAGAAGGCACTACAGTGTGCTGAGCAGACCTGTGCACTGCTAATATTCAACCGGCCACAGCCGCCACATCCTGGGTAGTTCTTTCCCCACGAGTCATCATTTTCGTGGCAGTTTGTTTATTTGTTTGTTTGAGACAGGTTTCTCTGTATAGTCCTGGCTGTCCTGGAACTCACTCTGAGATCAGACGAAATCGGGCATGTTTAGGGTGGCATGGCCTGGAACTCTGTAGACCAGGTTGGCCTCTAGCTCACAGACACCTGCCTGCATATGCCTCCTGAGTGCTGGATTAGAAGGCACATACCACCACAGCCTGGCCTTCTTAAACAACTTTTAATTCCACTCCAGTGATATAATCTCATGAGTTGTTTTTGTTTTGTTGTTGTTGAGACAGGGTTTCTCTGTTAACAGCCCTGTCTGTCCTGAACTCACTTTGTAGACGAGGCTAGCTTTGAACTCACAGAGATCCACTTACTTCTGCCTCCCGAATGCTGGGATTAAAGGCATGCACCGACACTGCCCAGCCCATGGTGGATTCTTAATTTATTTTTATTTTATGTGTAATGGTGTTTTGCCTGTATATATATGCACAACATGCCTACAGCGCCCAGGGAGGCCAGAAGAGGACATCTGACCCCTAATAACTAGTTGCAGGAGATTATGAGCTGCAATATGGTTGACAGAGACTGAATCCAGGTCCTCAAAGAGCAGCCAGTGCTCTTAACTGCTGAGCCATCTCTCCAGCCCCACATTTTGAATTTTTGGTTACCACATTTTGAATTTGTGGTTACTTACGCTTTCTTCAGCCAGTGGGCTGAGCCCTGAGAAAGGATGATCAATTCTGATGTAGTTCTGGGCAGGTAGTGTATTTTAAGGCTCACTGTGGGACAACTCTCTTGCACACTAAGAGGCCTCCCCATCCTCCAGGGCTGTTCCTGGAGACACTTGGATGAGGAGGTGAGTCTCACTGGCTGAGGTACTTCCTAAAGGGGCAGCTAGACCAGGAGGAGGCTTGGCTCAACTTGTACAGTTCAAGGTGCTAACTGTAGCTGCTGGAGAGGCAGAGACCTCTGTGGACCATGAGCTCTCTACATCTCACCAAATGACAGGACTTCTTACAGAAGGGACAGGCATGAGACTAAACCCAGGTAAAGGCACTAGCTGCCAAGTCTCACAATCCCTGGGACCCACATGCTAGAAAACCAACTCATTCAAGTTGTCCTCTGATCTCCACATGTGCCCAAACATGTAAACACATACTAAGAAAAAATAAATAAAATGTAATTTGTAAAAGTTATATATAGGGGCCAGTGACATGGCTCAGTGGGTAAAGGTGCTTGCCTACATGAATTCAATCCCTGAACCTCAATCAGGATTCTTGAACAGGGAAGCCTGTGTCATGAGTTCCCTTTTACTTACAACCCTCAATGGCCTATCAGAGTGGCAAGAGCAAACGACCTGTCTCACATACACATTTGTAAACTATCGGGATGGGTTACTTTATCCAGAGGAAACCTTTGACCACGGAGGTAAGAGAAGCCAATTTTCCACAAATTTCAATGGACAAATATTAGAGGATATAAAAACACAATAAAGTTGGGACAGCTCCTTAGTACCATTGAGTAGTAGCTACAGCTCATACACAGACACACATGCTCTTACAAAACCAACATGCTTATAGCAGTACATAAATGGGAGAGATGATAAAAGCTTCCTAATTCAAAACTGCACAAGGCACTTTCAAATCTGAGGACATCACTGTGTTTTTTAGTTTGTTTGTTTGCTTGGTTTTGGTTTTGGAGACAGGGTTTCTCTGTGGCTTTGGAAGCTGTTCTGGAACTCGCTCTTGTAGACCAGACTGGTCTTGAACTCACAGAGATCTGCCTGCCTCTGCCTCCCGAGTGCTGGGATTAAAGGTGTGCACCACTATCGCCCGGCTCATAATAAGCCTTGGGAAAAAAAAAGAGCCGAGCCACTGTAACTGCATTTCAAATAGCTATGGGGCACAACCACACTGACCACACCCTAAAGGAAACAACCACATTAGAGGCATAAACCACACACAGCTAGCATCACAGTTACAACAGCATGTCCGCAGCAGAGGGGTGTCTAGCATCTTAAGTTTTACCTGTGCACTGAACTTGATCAGCACCATGTACTGGTTTGGAGTAGAGTCTCTGATGATCTTCATTTGTTCAATCACATCATTGAACGGGGCAACAAACTTCATAAGGTCGTGACTCGTCATGGTGGCAGGAACAGTAAGGACACACAGCATGGCGCTGCGAGGCACATCTTCCTTTAACGAGGTCATCTTACTGAGAGGATGATAATGAGACCATCTTGAAGAATTGGAGAACACTAACCAAACAACTCATTTGTCCAAGAAAATATGAAAAAACAAAATGGCTGATATTTCACCATCAACATAAACAACTTGTGAGTTTACTAGAAAATATACACTTATGACTACACCTGAATCCTCCCACAGGTCTGCAGTCCACTTTAAGGCACACTCTAAGTTCCACATTACCCGCCGGGCGTTGGTGGCTCATGCCTTTAATCCCAGCACTCGGGAGGCAGAGGCAGGTGGATCTCTGTGAGTTCGAGACCAGCCTGGACTACCAAGCAAGTTCCAGGACAGCCTCCAAAGCCACAGAGAAACCCTGTCTCGAAAAACCAAAAAAAAAAAAAAAAAAAAAAAAAGTTCCACATTACCCTCCATCAGTGTTTCCACCTACCTCTGCCACCATACCCAGCCCCTCTGCAGAATTTTCAATTGTGACTTAAAGGGTCCTTATTTTATACTAGCAAGACTCAGTGTCCTATTCTCTTTTCAAAAAGATTTACTTACTTTTATGTGTATGAGTTTTTGCCTACAGATATGTCTGTGCACCACATGTAGGCCTGGTGCCCAAAGAAGGCATGGGATTCCCTGGAACTAAAATGAAGATGGTTGTGAGGTACCTTGTGAGTGCTGGGAACTGAACTCAGGTCCTTTGCAAAAACAGCAAGTGTTCTTAAGCTCTGAGCCATCTCTCCATCATCATGTTTTATTCCCTTTAATTTTTGAGTAGTAATCTGTTGTTGAATAACTATGAAGCACAGTGCTACTGTGAATTTCGCTTAAGAGAGCTCTGGGGAAGACAGGGGTATAAATCTATGTGAGAATTCTAAACTTGAGGATGTGACTGAAGATTACAAAAAGTGCTGATGAGCTAAACAGCTGGGACAGAGGAAGGAGAACCTTCTACAATGCAATTTGCTTTTGATACTCTGAAAACCAACTTGACAGCTGGGTTCCAAACTGGCTACCTGATGACTGGCTGTTTTCCCAGGAGGGATCTGGGAAACAAGTTTGGGCAAAGACAATAGTTGAGACATCAATCAATTATCCTATCCCAGAAGGCCCAAGTGTTTATCTATCCAAGTGCTTCCTCTCCTTGGGCTTTCAGAAATAAGCTTTAAAACAAACAAACAAACAACCAGAGGAAAGGTGTAAAAAGCCAGGTCTAGTGGCATACACCTTTACAGGTTGATCTCCACGAGATTCTAAGCCAGTCAGGGCTACACAGTGAGACCTTGTCTCAAAACCCAAATAAAACAAAAACAAAACAAAACAGACAAGCAAACAAAAAAACAGATAAAAGAAGCCCTCGAAAACATAATAAAAAAGCCACACAAGTGGTATTTCAATTAAAATGAGTTAGCTGGCTTCTTGTGGTACTTTGCCTCATTTGATTTTCAGTTCTCCAATCAATACCCATGCCTAACAGCTAACAGAATATTTCCAAAGCATCTCTTATGGTTGTTGTTTTCAAGACAGGGTTTCTCTGTGTAACAGTCCTGACTGTCCTGGAACTTGATTTTAGAACAGGCTGGCCTTGAACTCACAGAGATCTGCCTGCAAGTAGGGAAAGTTTTGGCCTAGTCTACACTGTCAAACACAAAGCATTTCAGAACTCTAGAACACAATACCTAAAGTCAGGCTGTTAAGACTTTAGCCTTCTGTCTTCCTTCAGGCCCACAACTTCTGTCCCTACTCACAGTGGAACCTGAGCGGTCTCAGGGAAAGGAGGCTTGTCTTACTTCGTCTTATAAAGATGCATGATGCCGTGCACGATCTCAACAGAAGGGTTGCCGCTGAAGAAGGAAATCTGCTCTGGGAGCTGCTTGGACGGGGAATCTGGGGCTGTGTTCACCGACTCACTTTGCTTCCTGCCTTTCTGTGCAGACAGGGAAGCTGCTGAAGACTTATTTTCTTCCATCGTGTCTTTCAACTCATCTTGCAAAAGCAAAAGTTAGCAGATCACAAACAGCTGGAAATATGCTGAAGGAGCCTAATAAAGTTAGAGCTTCACACTGGAAAAAGAACTGTGACAGAAACACTATCCTGTATTGCATTAAGAACACTGGAGGATGAAGCAGGAGGTGTGCAGATGTGGGCTACTTACTGTAACAGACCCTGTCACAAACATGAACAAACCATATTGACAGAACTGCTGGGTTGGGGACCATCTCCACTTTAAAGCTGTCCCTGCCTAAAAACATTTCCTCACACTCTTGTAAAAATATATTAATACCCTCAAAAACCCAAGAAGGTCCCCTCCCATATCCAGCAGTACCCCAACACAGCAGTAAGGCCCCTCCCACATCCAGCAGTACCCCAACACAGCAGTAAGGCCCCTCCCACATCCAGCAGCACCTCAACACAACAGGCAGCACTCACCACCTGCTCCTTAGTGAGACAGGCAATCGGAGAGCTCTGACCACACCTATGCTGAAGATGCAGAAAGAATCCACTCCCTCAGCTGAGGCCAGCAGGGGGGAGGGCATCTTAAGCTCACCCGATGCATTGCTCCTCTGAAGTACTCCCCACCTCAGTTAAGAGTCCATTTAGTTACACTCAGTCAAACTGTCCCTTTATTACTCCTTTGACACAGGGTCTTCTTCGGTTATCTGTTTCTGAACTCCAGGGTTTAAATACCCCTTTTTGCCTCTGCACCGAGTGGCTGAACTACAGACATGTACCTCTGCACCCAATGTCAGTACTACTTAGGGAAAATAAACAGAAGAAAATGAAATGTGACTTCCCAAAAATCACACAGAGCACACAAGTGGTGAAAAAATACAAGCATGCTGGAGCTTGGGCTCGGCTGGTAGAGCAATTGCAAACACGCATGTGGCCCTGGATCTGAGCCACAGCACCAGATAAACTAGACACTAGTGGTGTACACACACAATCCCCCAACATTCAGGAGGTGACGCGGTAGAAGGGAGAAAGGTTAGAAGTTCAGGGTTATCTTCAGCTTCACACGCTGCAGTCAGTATGGGCTAAAGAAGATCTTGTATTAAAAATAAAAATAAGGGGCTAGAGATACTGGCTGCTCTTCCAGAAGACCTGGGTTCAATTCCTAGCACCCACATGGCAGCTCACATGTGTCTGTAATTCCAGTTCCAGGGGATCTGACACCTTCATACCAATGCACATAAAATAAATTTACATAAATTATTTTAAAAACAGGAATTTGCCAGAGGTGAGCCTCAAGAGCTCACAATACCAAAGCAAGACCAGACTTCCTGAGGGAATACCTGGGTTGGCTTTCATGGTCTCAATAATCACATCGGTCATTTCCCGACGGCCAAGGTGCTGGTGGATGATCGAGGCCTTCTCCCCGGGTGACTTCCCTTCTAGACAGGCAGCAGCTGAAGCCAGTGTCTTCTTTTTGATCTCCTCATCGGACATCTCCCCAGCTGAGGAGCGCATGAATGATTAATATCCGATGACAGGACAAATTCCCCTCACTTCTCGGCACTCCAATCAATAAGGTTTCTCCTTGTCTCCTGTGCCTTCCCAGTGGGTGAGACTGAGTTTGCAGTATGTGCCTCAGCTCCTCCAGGACTTCTACAGCACACCCCCACCCCATCCCTGGCGAATGACAGAAGGCATCCATCACAATGATCTCAGAAACATGGGGCTGTCCTAGTGAAATCATGTACTTACAACAAACCCACAGGAATAAAGGCCTCCCAGAATGTTCTGCAGTGATTATACCCAGATAAACTACCATGAGTGGCACCCAGTTTGGGCCTATGTTGTGGCCAAATACAAGTCTCACAAATAAAAGGCATTTTAGAGACCCTGAGACATGACTGAAATACCCTTAACATCAGCTCTGCGGCAGACCCCAGCTTGTCCAGCCCAAAACTCCTGCCACACAACCTAGCATGCAGCAGAAGCTCTTTGCTGCATAAATGACCCCAGGACTAGGCCCATGGAGAAACCTGTATGTGCCTAATGCTGACTGAGTTGACTTTCAGAACTAGGGGTCACTTTGAGCCCTTGAAAGATGCTTGTAACCTTGGAATAAATCCCACTCAACTGAGTACAAAATGCACACCACAGCAAGACCACAATCTTTCACTGCAGCTCCAAATGCTGGATTCACGGAGTATCCACTGATGCCGTTTCCCATGAATAAGCGTCATTCTCACGCTCCAAGCTCAAGAAGTGTTCCTGTTTCCCTTTTCCATCAACTTAACACTTTTATTCCGTATGTCACAAATCAGTGACTACATCTAATGCTCCGCACGAAGCTCTGACACACACACCAAGCAATCACCCTCCCACACACACCTTTTTTTGTCTGTTTGTTTGTTGGGACAGGTTTCCCTGTAACCCAGACTGACTTGTGGTTCGCTGGTCCTACTGCCTCCACCTCCGGAGTGTCTCTAATCTCCTGAACCAGTGTCACCAGGTAATGTTTTGACGATCCAGGGAGAGTCGAAGCTGCATGGCCCACTAAGGAAGTCTGTGGCCACCGGTGAAGACGTCAGATCCTCGGGCCCAGCTGGGTTACAATATCTGTTTCCAGCCACTCACACCTAACTTTAGGCAAATCATTTCACCACGGGCCTGTTTGCTAGTTTGGAGAAGGCGCAGAGCATCCCCCACCCCACCCCCAGGTCGCGCTTTCTCGAAGCGAAAGCGTCGAGGGGGAACATCGAGTACAGGCACCTGGCAGCCCCGGGGCGGGTGGAGCGAGGACGTCCGACCCGCCGACCCTGCGCGAGGCCGCGGACTCACCGGCGGCGCTGAAGCCGAAGTCGGCGGGGACCGGCGAGTGACCCGCGAGCTCCAGTCGGATGACCACCAGTGACACACTCATAGGGCAGGCGCTGGTCGGCGTGGGCCCCGGCGGGATCAGGGAAGACTGCGGGCCGATCCCAGAGGCCGAGCGGCCCGCGGGCGGCAGCGCCGCCACCGCCTCAAAGCCGCGGCCGCCGCCTCAGCAGCGACAAACCTCTCGCGCAGCTGGCCGAGCCACAACAACCTCTACTTCCGCCTCCCGGCCGCCGTCTCTGACCCGCGGGGTCGCGTACGCGCATGCGCCAGCGGGAAGGAGGCGCGGTCCCCGCGCGCACGCGCCCTCTGCCGCCGAGGCTGAACCTTGGCTGAGGGACTCCGAGATTGTGATCGCTCTGTGCTGAGCTCCCCAGCCTCCTTTTGCGTTCCACCCCTCGCTTCTTGCGTTCCGCCCGTTCTCCGGCCGGGTTCTCCCAGCCTTTTTGGTTTCCCGAGTCTTCGCTCTCAGGGTCTTAACTTTATGCAGGTATGGCGATGGGCTGGTTAGGAGCCCAGGGGCTTCACAGGTGACCACTGAGAGCCTGACACTGCGGGACTTTGTGGGGTACTTTTGCAGACAGGAAGACAGACGACCTTCAGCTCTTGTGCCATCCCGAACTAGCAAATGCATAACATTACACGGTTGTGTGACGTGAACGCAGTGTGGAGACAGGGATAAATAAGCCTGTAGGTTATGGTTGGATTTGGTTTTGTTGTTTGGTTGTTTTGAGACATAGTCTGGTGTAACGCAAGCTGGTTGAACTGTGTATGTTAAACAGCAGAGGATGTCCTTGAACTTCTGATCCTCCTGTCTCTTCCACCTCCCGAGGGCTGAGGGCTTTGTGCTAGACAAGTTGGAAGGATAGAACTATCTCATGCATTTGCCGTAGTGAGCACACACACCGGAATGTACTTCAGTGGTAGAGTGCTTTGGGCATGGGCTCTGGGTTCAATGTCCAGCACACACACACAAACAAGAAAAGAAAATGAACAGCCAGCTAAAATTAGTGCATATATAGAAGAAACAGGACAGGTTACTATTCCATATGCTAAAATGTGTGAAACCTGTGAGAAAGGACACATCCACAAACTATAACAGGAACACATGATACATAGAAGAGCTTATGCTATACCCTATGTAACATGTCTCACATTCCGCTAATGCCAGGGTTTCCCAGCTTCACATTTTGGGTCCTGATAACCCATTCAGGGTGTATGTTTGTTTGTCTGTGTATCGACAATGTCAGTAGTACTCTCTCCTGCTGGTAACCAACAAAAATGTACACTAATATTGCATAATGTCCCTTCTGGGACCTGGATCATCCCTTATGGAGGATCCCCAGCCACAGGAGCAGATAGAGAGAACAGCTGCCATGTGATGGAGTAAATACCAAACTAAAAGTATGGAACAATAATAGGGGTGGCAGTTGAGGAAAGACCACCCCAAAACTACCATAGTCAGCTTGAGGAAAAAGTAATATTCCCAGGGAAGAAGGCAAGGCCGAGGTGTAAAAGGAGTGGAAATTCACCAGACAGATGAAGCAGGGCAAAGGCTCCGTTCTACCGGCACAGCAGGTGCCAAAGCTTGGGGACATGAGAGATAGTGCTTGCCTAGTGTGTACAAAGGCCAGAGCCGGATCCCCAGCCATACATTCCCAGAAGTGGTTAACAGAAGCCTGAAATCTCAGCCTGCACATCAGGCTCTGTGTCCTTTGTAGGCTTGGCATACAGAGGAAGGAGTGACGCTGAAAGAAAGCTCATCAGCCTTCCAGCTTGGGGAGTCAGCTGAGACATGTGGGTGGCACCCCCAGCTCGGGGATAGAGCCCGGATGGAAGCTGGATCCAGCTGCCCTGTATCTTCTTCCCATACAGCCTCTGCCTCACCATGAGTGTAAGGAAGCTTTTCCAGCTGTCCGCTCTCCGAGAGACATGGAAGACTGCTGCCATGAAAAGTACCCCGGGCAGGCAGCAGGGAGTCCTGCGCTGGACACATTCTGGAGGTTGCAGCTATAGAGCGGTCATTTTTGACATGGGTGGAGTTCTCATGCCTTCTCCATGGACCGTGGCTGCTGGTGAGCTCATTACTCTTTCACTTTGCGGGGTTGGGGTGGGAAAAGGGGGTGGTAGGGGAGACAGACAGGCCCTGGAGTCCAATTCTAAGCCCCAGTTAGTGGCAGTGTTGGAGGCAAATTATTCAACTTCTTTGAGTCTGGGTTGCCTTGTCATTAAATTAGGGCTAATAGTAGACCCTCATTCCTTGGGACTTGGAGGGGGGAGTTAAATGAAATGATCCACAGAAAATACTGTAGATGGATGGTAGAGGGCTTCCCTGGCATGCTCACAGCCCTGGGCTCAATCCCCAGACCCTCATAAACCAGGTGTGACATTTGAGAGGTTGAAGCTGAAGGATTGGGTATTCACAGTTATATCCCCAGCTAAACAGCTAGTTCAAGGGCAGCCTGGGCTACACAGAATTTTTTCTTTAAATGAGTAAAGAAATAACACAAGGAGCTTTCTCTTTCCCCGACTTCCATGATGTGAGTTGTTGGACTCTGCCATGCCATCCTGCCCATGAACTAAAGCATCCAAAGCTGTGAGCCCAGGTAAATCTTCCCTCCCTCAAAAACGAATAAAGCCAGTAACATCCGGAGAGAAAGGACAGGTTTAAAATTCTCACCTGTCGAAGCTACAAAACTGAAGCTATCCCACTTCGTCCTTGCACGGCCCAGAGCCAACACCCAAGCGTTTGTGTGCTCTCTAGCTTTTGTTGTACACAATATGATTTCATTGTGAGCTCACTTCGTAAGTCAAGCATTGGCTAGGGTTTCCAACGAGGAGCCAGAAGGTAAAGGCTTTCAGCATTGAGGGCCATAAGGTTTCTGGTGAAGACACCTGAATGCAGGCAACCATTACAAACTCCGAGAACCAGGGATGGTGCTAAAGGCGTGGCTTTTGGTCTCCTGGGTGCTGATGGGATTTTTCATATGTCACAACATACTATTCGTGTTGTGTTGTTTTTCAACTTTTCAGAAGGTAAAGCCATTCTAGCTGACTGTCCATGTAAAAACTGGCAGCAGTTAGATTTGGCACAGACTGAGTTGACCAAGCCCCGGCTTGAATGTAGAAGGCACATGAAGTACCTTGGGGTCCAGTACTTGGGCCAGGATGTAGCTCAGTGGTAGAATGTTTGCGTACCTCTCACAAGGCCCTGGGTCCATTCACATCACTGCAAGAAAACAGTGGGGAAGAGGGTGAGGATAGGAGAGAACCCAAAGGTCACAGAGTCGTGTGTGTGTGTGTGTGTGTGTGTGTGTGTGTGTGTGTGTGTGTGTCCCCGCTGTGTACCACATCCTTGGGTTTTAAGTGCAAGAAAAACAGGTTTCTTGTTGCAGTCCTTTCCTTACCCCTTCCCATTATTGTGATAAACACCATTTTGACCAAAGGTAACTCGGAGAGGAAACAGTTTACTTTATTGTCTTCCGTGTTCCGGTCAGTGTCCTTCATGAGGGAGGTCAGGGCAGGAACTCCAGGCAGGAACTGAAGCAGAGGACCATCAGCCCAGGGGTGGCACCATTCACAGTAGGCCAGGCCCTCCTCCGTCAGCCACTAGTAGAGAAAGTGCCCCCACAGACTTGCCCACTGTCTTAGTTTTATTGCCGTGAAGAGACAGCATGACCACAGCAGCTGTCTTCCATGCTCCTACTGATATGGCCCATTAAGCGGTGCTTAAAGCATCCCACTGCTTTCCTAACCAAAGTACCGAAGTCCAAATTCCTCCAAGCAAAAGCCGGGTCAGGTCTTTCACAGCAAAACCCCAGTCCCTGGTACGAACTTGCCCTAGTTAGGGTTTCTATTGCCATGGAGAGACACCATGACCACGGCAGCTCTTATAGAGGAAAACATTTGATTGGGGCTGGCGTACAGTTGAGGTTTAGTCCATTATTATCGTAGTAGGACATGGCAGTGTGCAGGCAGGCATGGTGCTGGAGACGTAGCTGGGAGTTCTGTATCTCGTGTGGGCAACAGGAAGTGGTATGTAACACTGGTGTGCCTATGAGAGTTCAAAGTCGGCCTCTGCAGTGACACACCTCCTCCAACAAGAACACACTGTAAACAGGTGTTTCCTGTCCAGACTGCCCAGTCCCAAATGACCACTCTGGGGCTTGTATTAGTTGGAAATGCTTAGCTAGTAGCTCAGGCTTACTACAGCACAAACCACACCTCCTTTGGTGCCACTCCCTTGGGGGCCATTTTTTTTTCAAACTACCACACCCACAGAACAGTCTGATGGACGCATTTTCATAACTGAGGCTCTTGCTTCCCTGGTGACCCTCACTTGTGTTAACCTTAAAAAAAACTAATCCAGCACAAATCCATAGTTTATCATTTCTAACCCTTAAAGATTAACTAACTCACTGAACCAAGTGAAGAAAGAAGCAAGTCTAGCCCCGAGGGGGGTGGCGCACACCTCTAATCCCAGCGCTCGGGAGGCAGAGGCAAGCAGATCTCTGTGAGTTCAAGGCCAGCCTGGTCTACAGAGTGAGTGCCAGGACAACCAGGACTCTTCCTCAGGGCACACACCTAGTACCGATAAGACATCCCTGTGTGCCACCATGCCTGCAACTCTATGTTGTTCTAATATTCCCTGTATGTGTATAGTTAACTTTGAATTTATTTTATGTACACTGGTATTTTGCCTACATATGAGGTGTCAAATCCCATGGAGCTGGAGTTACAGACAGTTGTGAGCTGCCATGTAGGTTCTGGGAGAGCAGTTAATGCTCTTAACTGCTGAGTTGTCTCTCCAGCTCAGGTTCCTAATGTTTCTTGTTGAACTTCATTAAGAGCCTTTGCCAGTTATATTGAGAAGCAGCTTTTGATGTTTTTGAAGATTTATTCATTATTTTTAATTTATGTGCGTTTGTGTGTGCAGGTGTCCGTGGAGGCTGGAGTTGGGTCCCCTTCAAGAGCAGTAAACACCCTTTCTTAACTACTGAGTCATCTCTGGCCCACCATATTTTGATTAATGTATAATTTTTTGAGATTTTTTTCTTTCTTTTCTTTGAGAAAGGATCCTTACTAAAATTTGCATTTTTAGGATGTCATTAGAACCATCTGTAGGTTTTTTTCCTTTATAGTTGTAGACATTCAAGTCTAAGAAATTCTTTTTAGCTGGGTGTTGGTGGCACACGCCTTTAATCCCAGCACTCAGGAG